TGGCTAAAAAGAGATTGGAAAGAAGGTTTTTGCATCATGGCAGGCGATCGGAGCCGACGTGGTTGTTGAGATTTAATTTCGATTGCATTTTTTACGAGTCATAGCACGCAGTACAGCATCTAGTCAAGAATGTAGTAGTGGGTGATATGCCGTCCCTTTCAGCCTATTTTTACATGCGGGAGCGCACCTGGCCCTTAAAGATTTCAAATACTTACATCACTGCACGACGTCCTGAAGACTCACTAGGGGTGCGGATTTCACATCCCACACCATGGCGTCCTGGATCCATGTGGACACGTAACCCCTTCTCCGCCCCCCACACCGGTCACGAAGGCCAAACCATTAGCATTTTGTAGCGCATGTCTATGCGTGCCACACCCGCCACCAAGACAGCAACCTCCACAGCTTGACGGAGCGAAGCGCGGAGGCGGCACCTCTTAGGAAGGCATAACGATCATTAGCATCCTTTATCCATAAATCTTCCCCTCAGGCAATACCACGCCTGTAGTCATCTTTTTTTCTGTCAAAGAATGATCAAGCACGCACTTTCCATGAAAAGGAAGCACACAAAAGAGTCCTGCGTGTCGATAGTGCGGAAGGCTCGTGGCTACGTTCCCGCCCCAAAAGCCCGCCTAAATGCCTTTCTCCGCCCCACCTGCACAACGCTAAGCCGAGACACGTGCTTCCTTAAAGGCGTTTTCCACGACTGGCTCACACGACTCACCACACGACCTTTCCCTTTCAAAATTCCAGAGATTTCTCGACGCGCTTTTGTCGCTATCATTAAGGACACGGGGGCCTCGTCCTGTAGCCATGCTGCCCGTCCTGCACCTCCTTCTTCCCTCCGCTTCACCCTCCTCGCCTGACAACATCCATCATCCGTAGCTATTACCACCGCCTCTATCCCTTGTTAAAAAGGATTGCACGATGATGTCGTCACTCCTTGCCATCTCTTCCCGCGCCCTGGCCCTCGCTCTTGCCCCTTCCTTTCTCCTCCTGCTCACTGGCCCCTCCAACCTCCTCCCTCCTGACCACGCCCGGGTCATTTTCTCCGCCTCTATCGCCCGAATAGGAGGGAATCAAAGTGCCCTCGCCACTCTCGTCTCGCAAGCCTTGCTGCACTATCCCGATGCAGTCCACGCGCCCCCCGACTTCGATGTTTGGCCGTGGGTGCCGCCGTTGCTGCATGCCTCTGCTGGGGGGAACGTGGAGCTCACCGAGGTTCTTTTGCAAGCCGGCGCCGACCCCCTCCGTGGATCCCGGCGACACCGCGACCCGCCCTCACAGGATAAGGATGGGGACAGGGTGGGACGCGGCGGGGAGGGAGAGACGCCGTTTTATGTGGCCTGCCAGGGCGGGTACGAAGGGGTGGTGAGGCGCCTGGGGGACGTGCAGGCGGTGCGGGAACAGGAGGGACGGGCAACGAACACGGGGCTGATGGCCGCCAGCGAAGGGGGCCACGTGGGGGTGGTTCGTTACCTACTGGCATGCTTGTATGCCCCCCACCTCCCCTCCTCTCGCTCTCGCCTTCCCCCCCTCGACATCGACGCCCAAGACGCCCGCGGGGCTTCTGCCCTTCACTT